AACCCAGGTACTCTGGAAGAGCAGCCAGTGCTCCTAACCACTGACCATCTCTCCAGCTCCAAGTATTTTATTTTGTTATTTTTGCGTAGTGAGTGTATTGCCTGCATGTGTGTAAGTACATCCATGTCCTATGATACCCACAGAGGTCAGAAGAGGGAGCTGAATTTCTCTGGAATGGGAGTTAGAGATGATTGTTAGCCACCATGTGGGTACTGTGAATCAAGCTCAGGTCCTTTGCAAGGGAAGTCATTGCTCTTGACCACTAGGGCATCTCTCCAGCAGATAATTGATAATTTATTTAAATCAACTTAAAGAATGTAATTTTTATAATAAGCTTACTTAAACTCCAAATCTAATTTTGGAATCACAAAAACAATAGTTGTTTGCTTAGCTCGCCATATTAGTAAGGTTATATTTTTCCAAAAGCATTTTAGAAAGACTAAAGAACAGTAAAGATTTTATAATATAATACTGAATAGAAAGATGGACACGTAGGACAGGAAGAGAGTAGAATGACCAAAACTAAGGATGGATGTAGGAGCCTTAGGAAACTTCATTCGTGTAAGCTAATGAAAATACCATTTTTAAAATGAGAGTTTTGGGGCTGAAGAGAGGGCTTAGTGGTTAAAAATACTTGCTGTTCTTCCAAAGAACCTGGGTTCGAGTCCCAGAACCCATGATGGCTAAAAAGCACCTGTAACTTCAGTTCCAGGGGATCTGACACCCTCTTCTGGCCTCTGTGTGGCATTGCACACATATGGTGCACTTACATACATGTGGGCAAAACACTAATACACATAAAATAAAAATAATAAATAAGATTTTATAAAAGGGAGTTTGAACAGAGATATCCCATATGAGTGAACAATGCTGCTCCAAGAAGACATGGATTTTATATAAAAATCTCAGTACCAGACATGGGTTACTCCCTATGAGTAATTGGTCAGGCTGGTGCCAGAGGCACCCAAAATGATAAAAGCTGTTGTCATTTTTCTTGAATACCCACCATAACTAGATGGTAAGATCCTTTTAATGAAGACACCACTCACTTTAGTTGGAAGACACAAAGATAGCAATCTTGAACTGACCAGGATGTTCTCTCCTTGCTAGACAGCTTTGATAGTGCTGGAAGGTGCTATTCAGACTGCTGGGGTATGGTGAGGGGAAGACATCAATGGTCGTAGGTAGCAATGAACCCTGAACACTGCAATAAAGAACTTGTCAGACAAGATGCCCACACTGATGCTATAGTGGCAAGACTGTTTATGGGAGTAACCACCCACTCTCTTGATAGGCTCTGAGGCCTGATCAACAGAGGAGAAGTCATGCCTGGTAGTGTAAACATGATCAAACCTATGGCTAGGGAAGCCATAGGCCCTAGGGAAGAACCTATTAATGTTATTTTGATGAATGTTCATATTGTAAAACTGCCTTCAAAATATTTGTTTATATTCACAGATTTGTCCTGTTCTCAATCTTGACCAAAAAATACCTTATTACAGAAGGTAGTGGTTAATGAAGAGACTCACAGCTAAAAAATTCTGAGAAAAAGCAACAGTATACAGCAGTATAAGATATCTATGTAAATTCTGCCCCAGTCCCCCAAGGTTCAGAGCATAAAAGCCTGAGGATGGGGAGCAGTGCTATGAAATACTGTCCTCTGGACATGACAAGGCTGTTGCACACATGAACTCACTGCAGCTGTGGTTACCTGCACAGCGTCAAGCTAGTTAAAAATTGCAGCATGGAGCAGGGAAGGACTCTCAATGCCTCAGTCCTAGCTGAGGAGCTATTGGCAGGTGATGGCTGCTGAGGGAAAGAGAGTCATTTTTCCTGGGGGGGGGACATTGGAGGATGTCCAAGATGCAGAGGATGACCCCACACCCATGTGGGTAATGGCAGCATTAATTGATTTGAACTTAGTGGGTTTATTTTTCAAGAAGAGGATATGAAGTTGGAAGAAATATGTGTTTAGGGGGTTCAGGGGGAATTGGAGGGAGTGAGTTGGGGGTATGACCAAGATACACAGTATACATCTGTGAAATTTCTGTAGAATAAAAAATTAAAAGATTTAAGAAAGATAGACATCAGTATATGCAAATTAACTAACAAGTTAGGAGAGAAATTTTTTAGTACATAGCTTATTTCAATAGATTAAGATCTCTAAGGTAATTAACATGTGATCTAATAAAGTTTAGAAGCTAAAATAGTAATACTATAGTATCCTATTAACATTGACCTCTGTTTTAGATATAGGGCAGGTACCATATTAATAGTTATAATACTTTATCTTAGTGTGAACTTTCTAGCATGAAAGTATGGAAAATATTTACTTATGTCATCAAGATTAAAATAAGGAACTACTGAAATATTTATTTAACAATATAAATCTCTGTCACTTGTAGAAGATAATTTTGAGTAAAAAACCCACTTATATAATAATTGTACATTGGCAGGAAAATGGGGAGGAGTACCATTCTCAAAAAGCATATTCTTTTATTTAACTACTATCATTTTTGCAATTTCTCACATGCATGCCATGTATCACACACACTCTTCTCCCTTCCCTGTCACTCCCGTCAACATCTCCCACCTCAATCATTCTCTTATATTCATTCCTATTCATTTTTGGCTTTATTTTTGTTTTTAGTGAGCCACTGATATTCACCAGGGCTCCCTATGTGACCGTGGGTTTAGAACTATGCACCTATGTCTAAGGGCTTCAGCAGCAGGTGTACAACAAAATATCGTGATTCTCCCTCTGCCAGAATCTATTGACAGCCAATAATTCAGCAGTAAAAGGTAGGACCTAATGAGGCCCTCCCCATCCCCTTTCTTTGACTGACTGTTGATGAGGTAAGTTGTGTGTGGGCCCAGTGCAGATAACTGCAGTTTTGGGGAGTTAATGATTACAATGTGTCTGGGGAATGGTGTTTTGTATGCTTTTACCTTATTTTCTGACTCCTACATATTTTGTGTTCCCTCTCCTGCAATGTCCATTTCCTGACCTTTACAGGGAGTGGTATAACTCAAATGTTTAGGACCAGGCTTATTCTCTGCCTCTTGGTCAGCCAAAGAGCTCAATTTTAACTTTAAATAATTAAATATAACACAAGGAAAATTTAATAACCATACAGTCATAAGGCCATCACAGTAGACAGCATTTAATTAATATCAGAAGAACTGCAGGGAGATTTCTGGAATATTTCATATTCACTGAAGAATCAAGTGATCAGTAGTGTAATATGATGGGAGCAAAGTTTCCTCAAGGTAAATAAAGATAAAAAATAATTATTACAAAACTTAACATATGCTGATGACATCCTGCATGTTTGGTGCTTTCTTTTACTACATCATACATAATATCTTAATTATTTTTTATTGCCTTCTCTATAAGATATCATGTGTCCCATTTTACAGGTAAGCTGATTGGACAGAAAGTTAAGTAGCTTACCAAAAGATAAGGTTTGTACAGAAGACTATGGAGAGGAGTACTTTTACAGTAGGCTTTGGTTTTCTTAGCAATGGAATTCCATGAGGGGTAGAATGCACTGAAAAGGAGTGGATGGCAGGCATGGCAGTGCATACCATTAGTCCCAGCAGTTGGGAAGCAGAGGCAGGTGGATCTCCATAAGATTGAGACGCAGAGTGAGTTCTAGGCCAGCTGGGCTGCAAGAAGACCCTGTCTCCAAAAACCAAAACAGAAAAGGAGTGGAGAGGTGTACAAGGAAGGAGCCCCAGGCAGAAGGCAACAGGGCAGAAGACTGGAGGGGAGCTCTAAACTAGTGATGAATTTGAAGAACCATAGGCCTGTCAAAATAAATGGAGATTCTCCAGTTCCAGGAGAACAGTGAATGGAATGTAAATCTGTGGAAAGTCACATGTAGTAATTAAGGAAGTGGTAATTAAACATTTGAATTAAAATTACCCCTATGAAATCCAGTACAAAGAATACATGCCAGTAAGAAAAATAAATTGGTAATGTAATTTTGGAAAAAATTCTTCTACAAAATATTTCCACTATGATTTATAACTTTCGACGACATTTTGAACCATTTAACTACCTATCAATTCTCAATAAATAATCATGAAATTTTAAGTTATTCATAAACTACTTTTCTGAAACTATTCATGTGAGTCATTTCACTCCTGCATCACCATCTCTCCTGCTTTTTCTGATCTCTGCATGCAAATTATCACCTTTGATTTGCTCCTAGACACCTACTCACTGACTATCTGAAAATGCCTTACATATCTATTTCTTTTCAGCTCTTTCATAATTATAATCCCCTCCTAACCTTCTGATTTTTTCTTCTGCTTTATACATTCATGGCTCTCTTCTTAAATTTTCTCATGTTATAATGTATCTGAATGTTCTTTACTAAACAAGTAGTTAAATAATTAGATTGACTTTGCGGACTTCCGGTATTAAGCAGCTATTTATAATAATGTCAGTAAATCAAATTTAGAGCACTAAAATCAATTATGTTCATTTATCTTAAAACGATTCTAAATTAAAACATGAATGCAAAGGGAACTGAAAATCATCCTTTAAAATCGATTAATTTTAATGTTTACAGGAAACAAGTTTACCAGCAAAAAAAAAAAAAAGTATCAAAAGTAACATTTTACAGAATTTGTCTCAAAGCACAATACATTGTAATAGAAACAAACCTATCACCACATGGGTATCATTATAACAGAATGTTTATACACAATGCCATTTTGCCAGTATTGAAACCAGTGGTAATGGTGATTGCAGTACAACAGTTCATCTCTATTAGACTTCTTGTTTTACATCCTGGCCTGCAGGAGTATTTGCCAGGGTACAAAAGAAAGCATGCAAACCCAGTTTTAACACTGCATAGATAGCCCTGGCTGCCACGCTTCACCTCCATGCTACCAGATCACCAGGGCTGTTCTCATACCACTTAGACTTTACTCCATTTATTACTGAGGCCAATCCCAAGGAACAAAACACTTAACAGATTCACTTGAATATGAAAGGATTGTTTTATACCAAATATCAAGTGCAATATCAGGGATTAATATTCTACATGACTAAACTTAACAGATGAGAAACTACAGTGCTAAGGGGAAAGCAATTTGAGATTTAGAGTAGGGAACACCAGAGCATTGGACTGGTGAAAACACGGTTTGAAAAGTTTCTTTCCATTTTCAGGTCAAATGCTTTTAAATGCACCAGATAATTTTGTAAGGGAAATTCACATTCACTGTTTAGATTCATTTTATTAGTGGCATATACAAAGCACCATATAATATAATACATGGACTGTAGAACAATCATGACTATGTAATTAACCGTAGAAATAACTGCTAAGAAAATATAGCAATATTTAACACAGGATTTCTAAAACCGTTGCATATTCATTACTTTCCCCAAAGCTAACGTCCCATGTTTTATTTTATAGACTTTGTCTATGAAGATTTACATGCATTTTGCACTCTGGGGGTGTGTGAGCTGAAAACAGTTGCCTTCTTCTGTACAATAATGTTACAGTTTTATACAAACGAGAAATATGGCATTTGGAATAGTCTTTAAATCCCCTTCCAAGTGTTCTATTTCACACGACTGCAAATACCCGGAATGCCTTTCCTCCTGCAGGATTCTGTAAACTGCAAAAACACAAAAAATACATTGAGGTCATCTGTGCATATAATCCTTCTAATAAAACATGCCCTTTTACGACACTCAAGAAAGCAGCTCTGTGAATCCAGGTGGCTGACTGTTTTAGGCTGCTGTAATTTACAGTTATTGGAAAACTCTAGTGAGGATGACATCATCCTTCACATCTTGTTTGCATGCTGGACTGCAAGTTTACTAAAGAAATTTGAGATGCATAAGAAGAATGTTAGTTGCTATACACTTTCACAGAGTCTATGTCATGTTTTCATGTTACCTCTTTTGATTCTAATAAAGTACAGACAGGCAGGTGCTATTCCATTTTATTACAGTGATACTGAGACTCAAGTTCACAGTTGATTTATCACTGAGATAGTTAACTATACTTAGCAGCTGGCTGATATCTAAGGAATTCTATAGAATACTAGCTCTCTATCCTTTCCTAAATCTAATACAATTTAAATTACAGTGCTTCTCTATTGATTAACTTTTCTTAATATGTATACCATTGAGAAAAATAATAGTGAAGAAATTTAATGTTCAAATCTGAAAGAACCTAAGAATTCACTAAAATGGAAAATACACACACACAAAGGCAACATTCAGTTTTGGAGGTACTTTCTTTTTTTTTTTTTTTTTTTGGTCTTTATGAGACAGGGTCTTTCTGTAGCCCCAGCTGTCCTGGAACTCACTATGTAGACCAGGCTGGTACTTTTAAAGTACAAGGTGAAAGTGATGAGAAACTATATATTTTTATTCTAAACATGAAGCACATTTTCATTTTGCATCAAAATTTACTCTTTTGTGAGACAGGAATTTTTTGTGCAGATATAGAAAAAGTCCCACAGTATTATAGTGAATGAAGGATTCCTTCAGAGTAGCCCCAACTGTCAACCAGGCTAACCTTGCTCTCACAGAAATCCTCCTCCCCAGTGCTGGGATTAAAGGCATGGGCCACCACACCTGGCCCCCAAATTTACTTCTGAATCATCAAAAAAATACTTTTAAAGATGAACACATTCAGTATTACTAAAGACAAAAAGAAATTTCCTTTTTACATTTGTTTTTATACAATAAGTAGGGAAAGAATTTTAGAGTTAGAAAATGATGACACTATCACAGATAAGCACACATGACACATGTGTGCCAGGCTCTCATGTAGCAGAATGTCTAACTAAAGCCATTTTTCTTTTCATAGGAAATGGACTAAGAACTCTAGGAAGTGTATACATCTGGCTTATTTCTTCTTCATACACAGTGATACACTGGATAAACCTGCAACTCGGAGCTCAGAGACCTAGTGTAAAGCTAGAGATTTATGATTACATGACCTTGGGCACATCAATTACTTAACCAATTTGGACCTTTGCTAACACATATACAAATTAGGGTTTAGAGAATCAGCATTACAGAGCTGCTACTGGAGCTGAGCCAAGTTTCTACCAGCATCTAGCATCTAGAATACTCATAGTGTATACTCAAAAATACTTACTATCCTCAGTTTTGTTAAAGGACCATATTCACTTTATTGTTTTAAAATTAATATTAGAAGTATGAGGGTTAAATGAAGTCCTATCTCTTAGATTATGAAAATATGTATTGAAACCTGTAACTCATGAATTCATTTCACATGTCACATGTGTTTAGGAAAGCCATGAGCCGGGTTGTAGAGAAGTCACCTTCTCAACAATGGCTTCCTGAATAATCCCCATCTGAAAACAGATGCTTCTAATTGACAATCTGTACTCACTATAGGGCATTCTTTGCATTCTAAGAGAAACTCAGAAACTAAATCCTTCCTTCACTATGATTTTGCAGAATCCAGGAAATACCTAAAATGGCAGGGCTTTTTCTGTATCTGCACAAATAAATGGAAACTAATATTACTTCCATAAATACCAATGATTCAAAACTTTACTAAACTTTAGTTCATTTCCCTTAATGTTAATTAATGTGATAAACTGAGAAACATGAATGTTCCCAAATCACTAAAACACATCACACTGTGAGCTGAACAGCATAGGATAACCTGAAAAAGTTCACTGACATCATACTAAGCATTCAACTTCCAATCAAAAACAGAATTTAATTCTAGGGAAAAATATAACTCATTGTTTTGGTTAAATACTTTGACAGATAACTGGATTAGAGAAATATTCAGTGCCTTGCACACCTAGAAAGAAGTAAATATAAAAACTAATCAGAAAATCCAAAAGAGGAAGAAGGAAACTTCCTATTTATAAGATCAATTAACAAAAGAGTGGCTCTATGGGTAATCCAATTTTCATACTGATTTTTATAACCCTGCAGGAGACAGGCCCCTCTGGTACTACAGTTGCTCTCATCCCAGGACAATCAAAGGTTACTGAAGCATGCAAAGAAAACATTCTGGTCCAGCCACTCAGACCCTACCCTCAAGTACATCCATTGTAAAGTGGGCACAAATAATAAGACAGACCTTATATTAAAATGTATATAAATGCATGTTTTGCTTGGCTTTACCTTTCTGAGAAGATTCCATTCTGAAAAGAAGCAGTGTACATCTTTCTTTTGTCCACAGGCATGACATCAACATAACCACCGTGATTTTGAACCACCCCAGCATGCACTGCTGCTCTGCAGATACTGGACAGCTGAAAAGGCAAGGGAGACAACCACCATGAAGAGGATTTTCCTACCTACTCTTCTATAGACTGAGAAATCAGATGTTTATCTGCACAGCCAGTGAGCAGCTACTGTGGTTCACTTTATGAGAGAATGTTTCAAAAGTCACCAATGATTTTGAGTCACAACCAAGTCTGAGTAAGTCTGAATGTAGATGTTAAAGGTGGCTGGAAAGATGAGACTCTCTACCATTGAACCTTCCGCAGACTTGTCCTATCCCATCAGCATTCCTTTATAATCACAGGAATAAAATGCAAATTAGCGCCTTTTAATTCTTCATGCACCTGTTTGTCATTCATAAATCTCAGCCACTCCTTCTGTGTATTGGAATACATGTGACAAAATGGTTGTGTGATGGAAGATAAGACACCTTACTTATGCTGATTTTACACAGCTCAACATGGGTGTACACATATCCAGCATCCATTTGTAGAATAAAGACATATATGAAATGGAGACCTTTTCCCTATTGAATAATACAGTCTTTGCACAGATATTTTATGGTCCCATGCACACATGGTGCCAGTGACAGAATCCAAACTGAACAGGAAGAAGTACTGTTGTTTCAGGTCCAAATTTTCAAATATCTAAAATTATTATCTTCCAAACGCTAAATCATTTCTCTTGGCCCATTAAAGTCTTCCCTAGATCTTAGCACTGGCTTGCAGCTAAATGTTGTACCAAAATCTGTCAATAGCTAAGTATAGAAGGAGGCAATTCCACACAGGAAATACTTGAAGTGCTTCAGCACACAGCAATCCTCTCATCTCTCTGCTGTTCTTTCCCCAGTCTGCTGCAGGGCTCTAATGGATTCTTATCTCTACACACATGCCAGTGATTTAATACGCTTTTTAAAGTTCACATAAGCGTGTGTATCTGGACTGACCTGGATTTATCACGGTGCTCTGAATTCTGTGCCATCAGTCAGTATTTATTAGCTCAGAGAGTCTGAAGGCCAAGCTGTCTAATCTTTCTCATGTTTTTACTCTATCACAAAACAATGTCAACGTCTGTCAAAATTGTGTGTCCTTCTGAGGAGGTGTTTTATTCAGCATGTTAAAGTCCCAGACAGCATTTATATAAAGTTTGTATAAAGATACTATGCATAAAAGACAAAATGAAAAATGATTCTCTACATATTTCAGCATTTATCTTGTTCCCTTAATAGAGTATAATCAGCATTGTTCCCTCAAGGCAGAAAAAGTGCTTGCATATGACATTTACTAAATCCAAGCACGTTCTGTTTGCAGAGTAATGTTTCACTTGCAAGTCTGTAGTCAGCAGGCATTCCTACTGAGTTCAAAGGTCAAAAGACTTTTTTTTTCCATATCCATACTTCATAAGGAAATGTTTAAATGAAAGGAAAATTTTCATCTATGAATATAGAAGAATTTATAACAAAGGCATAAATTAACACAATCTATAAGAAACTACAAATAAAGTTCAAAGCAGTAGAATACACAGTTCCAACTTCATAATAAAAAGAAAGCAAGAACATGGGGAGAAGAGAGAGAGGGGGGAGGGAATGGGTGGCTCCATCCCTACCTTTCCACATCGACCTTCACTGAAGGGAGAATGCACTTTGTAGGCGCTGAGGAGATGAGCGGTTAATGGTTTAACCTCTGATTCTGCAATGACTGCACGACAGGCATCTTTATATTTCCAACTTACTCTTCAAATAATTACACATATCAGCTACCCACTTCATGGAGTGAGGAAGTTAAAATGATCTTAGGATATAAGTTCTAACGATATGGTAACTTTAGTAAGAGATGACTTAAAAGTATAAATGTGTGTAGGATACTTTGAATGACCTTATTAGACGTGACGAACACCAAAAGCTTAGGTGCGTCAAGGGAAAACCTGCAAAGGATGACTGCCTTTGTGTACTCTGTGTTCCGCTTGAGTGCAGTCTGACAGACATCAAATGGGATGACTGTGTTGCCTAGCTGTGAAAACATATGAACTAATCCTAACAGTAACCGTAATACCTAACAGCATAGGCTTGTGCTGAAGGAAAGAAGTAACATGGGCTGAAGGAAGGATAACATCTCACTGGAGTAGAAGAGCTCACTGTGTACCTCACCGAGAAAGTGGCAATAATTGGGAAAGAAAGAATGTGCTGGATAGCTTCAATTCTCAATTTGACACACCGAGTAAGAGAAAATGTCAACTAGGGAATTTTCTCTGTCTGACTGGCCTATGCCCACATCTGTGAGTCACTTTCTTAAATGTTGAGCATTGTGGAAGAGCCCAGTCCACTGTGGGTGGTGCCATCCCTGGGCAGGTAGACCTGGGTTGTATAAGAAAGCAGGCTGAGCACAGGCCAGAGAACAAGCTGGTAAGCAGTGTTCCTCAGTGGTCTCTGCTTTAGCTCCTGCCTCCAGATTCCTGCCTTGGCCTTCCTCCATGACGGGCTGTAAGCCATAAAGTAAAGTAAACGATTTCCTCCCCCAAGCTGCCTTTCATCACTGTTCTATCACAGCAATAGAAAGAGCCAGGACAAAATCATGACTGTGGCAATAGAACAAATTCACAAAGGCCATATTTCCAAGACAGGCAGGCAGATGAGCAAAGGAGAAACACCAAAGAACATTTAATAACAAAGCAAATCTGCAGTAGAAGAGAGAGAATTAGGGAAATTATCAAAGGCAAAGCTGAACTGGAAAGAATGTAGACCTACTTCAACTTAAGACAAGTGAATTGGAGATGCACATACTTTAGGTTTCTTTTTGCAACCAAATTTCTAGCATATTCCATTGAATATGTGCATTAAAAGGGTACTTCCCAAATTTTCTTTAATAACTCTAGCTTCAAAATCTGTGATGGCTTCTAAGTATCTGCTACATGACATCTAAACTCATCAGGATGCAAACCCAGAGTGCCAGTTTCCATGGTGGTCTGGTCTCTCTCTCTCTCTCTCTCTCTCTCTCTCTCTCTCTCTCTCTCTCTCTTCCTGCCCACTCTCTCTTGACACAGGGGCCCAACAAATCTATCTGATGTGACCCACTGCATCTACTCTTTTCTACGCATCTTCCTAGGTTCCATCATACAACATACAACCAGGATGATTTCTTTAAAGCTCTCCAGCAACCACACTTCAAACCAGGCCTGAACTGCACATTTCTAATGGACACCATCACTGTTAATGCTCTTTGTCCAGTCACACTAAAGGCACCTATTAATATGTGACTTCAAGTGCTCTTTTGTACATCTTTTTAAGAAGCTGTCTGATTTTGACCCTTTTCTATTTATCAAATGCCTCTGACAGTGAAGTTATCATGTATGTTTTGGCAAATTTTAATTGTCTAGTTCATATTTCAGATACTAAAGAACCAAACAGAAGATTAAAGAGAAACAAATCACATCTTTTCTTCCCCAAAATGCCATGCCTCTAGGTTATTTTAAGTATCAGTTATATAGGCAAGCTATGAAGAAAAAAATTAGTCAAAAATAAATAAATAGATTATGTCATCATATTTCCATATAAATATTCATTTTTAGTGCCATTTATATATATTCTGAAAATATATATACTAGTTCAGAAACTCTTCCATGACTCTGTGTAGTACATGTATATACTTTCAAATGAACATATATATTTACATATACAAAGATATTGAGAGCCATGTAAATTAGCATACTTACATCAGAATAGACTCGAGATCCAATTACACGAGCATAATGTGGGTTTGCTTGCATACAGTTACGAGGACAGTAGACTCTAAAAAGAATATACAGATGAAGCAAGCTGGTAAGCTCAGGGGTCCTTAGTAATAAAAGCAAAGACAATCATGCACAGATGTAAAGTCAAAATTGCAAGCTCTGCTCATCTTCATTCTGCCTGAAATTGGTTAACTGTACAAACCAGCAGCTAGTGCACTAGCTTCTTTCATATAATTTACCCATTTCCAGGTTTTAACACAGATACATTTTATTTCTTTAAAATTTACTCAGAAGCTGTCATGTGGAGACTCAAAGTAGAAACATCAGGAAATCTTGAGTATCTGGTTCTCAATATTGGCACCCGTACTATATCCTATATCTAACAAACATATGTGAGAATCTCAACATAAAATCTACATGAAAATCACCTATATAGGATAGTATCCATGGCTTTCCAAAAATATTAAAGAAAAATATCATATTCTTAGTTGAATCTAACTTTATCAATTAAGATGGGTCTTCTTGGACTAGCGTTCAAGAAATAGCTGTAGCTCTTACTTCTAAGATTTGTATAGCATTGTGCACCCCACACTGTGTATACTTCATATAATACGGAAACCCAGAGACACTTAAATATAAATAATAAATGACATTATTGTCTGAGGGTTGATATATCCTACCTGATGCTTCTGTGAGATGAAGTTGTCCCTGCTAACTATACGTGATCTCATTGTATGTGAAAACTGCTGGATATTCACCATCATCCTGGGATTGTCAAACCACCTGCTATACCCTAGACTCATGCTGTGTGTATAAACTCTACTTTCTTTATCACTGGCATTTGACTTCCAGAAGAGGTCAGTATCAACAGTACCAAGCCCTTTCTACTTGGATAAGCTCAAGACTGGGGGTTGGTGAGCATGGGTGGTGGTGGTGGTGGTGTTTGTGTTGTTTCTACTGCCCTTCCACATACTACTGAGAAGGTATGGAGTACTCTAAAAACCATTCTTTGACTTACACTTTGCCTGTATGCTTTGAATAAAAATGCTGAAATTTTAAATGATGCATCTTCAGCATCAATAGATATTCAATGTTCTAATTGTTTAGAGATATAGGGTAAGATTTCCTTTAATACCACACACATTTCTACATGTTGCAGTATTAAATGATATTTATTTATTAGCTACTTATGCTTTGTTTCATAGTTCATTTTGGCTTATCCTCCCAGGTACAGAATCCCTAAGGACATAAAGAGCACAGGTAAATCTTGTTTCCACACATTCTTTTTTATCTAATTTCCTTTGGTTTATTTACTCCAGGCATTCCTTTCCAGAAAGCACTGTGCCTTGAGTTCTTTAAGGGATGGAAATTCTAACCAAAAGGTCCTAGCCATATGGTTTCCTAAAAGCTATCAATGCTCACATAAAACTGAAAATAAACATACTGCAGAAGAGCTTACCTAACTCCCTAAAGTCAAACGTATTATACTGGTGACAACTAAAGATAAAATTAACTTTTAGAAATTTGGGGGCTGGAGAGATGGCTCAGCGGCTAAGAACACTGGTTGTTCTTGCAGAAGACCCAGGTTCGAATGCCAGCACCCACATGGCATCTAACAACTATCTGTAACTCCAGTTCCAGGGGATCCGACAGCCTCTTCTGTCCTCTGTGGGCATTGCACAACACAGGCGCACTTACCTATACACAGGCAATACATGCATGCACATAAAATAAATACAATAAATAAAATTAAAAATTTTTAAAAAATTTTAGAACTTTAAATCATATTCATTTATTTTGATATTCCCCTTCTGAATGGGCCTAGAAATAGGAGATTTGCTTAGTTTTTCCTTTTCAGTAAAACACTGATATAAATACCTTTAGAGATATCAGATTGCTATTTATTTATTCAGCATCAACTGGAGAAAAGCCTTCTGGTAGGCAGAATGTTCCAAAGAGATTATTGTTATTATTTGCTACCCATAAACCCAGTCATAAATTCAGTACAGAGCCTAGAGGAATACTGGAATACAGTAGGTATTTTTGAAGTACTTGAAAATGTACAATTCTAAAATTACTGTTTTTATGGATCATATACTAGAAATGTCTCCTATAAAACTATAATCTATGAATATAAATATAAATATAAGATGTGAACGTAAGGATATGAGAGACCTTTGAAAATCTACAGATTTTATAAGATTTTAAAATGAAACAGGAATTAAAATCCATGAGATTTACAGAAGCATGATTAGTAAATAATTAGTATATATTTACAAGAAAATATTTAAAAGATAATTTGTTTCTGGTCAGATGGTTAAAAAGTATGTGATAAAGGACCCTCAATTGTTTTATAATCTTCTGACTTCAGTAAAATTGTTGAAGAATTTAGAAAAATAATTCAGTTTTCAATAAGCCAACTGACCAAAAACAGACAATAGTATTCCTGCATTAGACACAGAAAGATTTGGTTTTCAAAAGGAAATGGATTAGCTACTCCTGTTCCCCAGAATCTGCTGTCTATACCACATCTGAAAGAAGACTCCCTACTGACAGAAAATGAGGCACAAATTTCCTACATCCTTGTACCTTCTTTTATCTTGTAAACAATTTCACTCTTTAAGCAGCACATTAATTTTCAAAGTGCAAGTTACAAAGATTTTCCGAAGTAAATATGAACTGCCATAAAACTTAGCTTTCTTCAGTTGAGTATAGTCAGTTATGAGGGTTGTAGTACAACTTGCTCTCTGATGATGCCCTAGCCAGCAAGTTGAAAAAACACCCTTATTTAATAGTGACTCCAAACTAACCCTTCAATCTTTAGAGCACCTTAAGTCTGTCCTTTCGTAACTGTCTTTGAGGGGTTAAATGAAGCTCATAGCTTAGAATTTCTTTAGGTTTCTGCTTATGTTTTTGGTTGTTTACTAAATTATATCTCCTATAAATGCAAAATTATTGTATTACAGCTTTTTAATTAATTAATTTATTTTTTATTTTATGTGTATGCGTGTTTTGCCTACAGGCATGTAGTGCACCCATGTCATACAATGCCAGCAGAGGCCAGAAGAGGGCATGAAATCACCTGGAAATGGAGTTATGAATGGTTGTTAGCCAACACGTAGGTGCTGGGAACCAAACCCAAGTTCTCTGCAAGAGCAGCTAGTGCTCTTAACTGTTAAGCCATTTCTCCAGCCTCATAAGTGTTAACAATTTTTTAAGACTGCATTTTGTTATTTGAAAAGCTGCAATTACTGTTCACGTGCACTTAAAAACCGTATTTCAACACCATCTCTGGAAATAAGTGATTATAGACGAAGCAGGCAAAAACAAATCAGGCTTCCTAATATTTTTAGCAAATATAGTTTGCCAAATTACAATATATCTCTAAATCTTATTATTGGTTTTTTTTGGAAGTAGTGCAGATATCTTGGTTGGAAACAGTGTGAGCAGAACTAAGAATGGGTGTGTGAACATCCTTCACTTTTCTGAGTACTGTCTACTGCTTGTGCTTGGCCAAGGCAGGTGAATCTGCCCCTCCCCACCGCCCCCAAATCTTTTATAGTCAATAAACTGAAACATATTTTTCAGTGGAGAGTTGGACATTTTAATTTACCAATCACAATTAGATTCATCTAATTTAGGAACTAGATAACCATTAACAAGTGTGTATTAAAAGAATGAGCAAGGTTGGAAGTGTTACCTTGGGCAGTGCGAAGCAGGCTTGTGAAACGGACAGAGCTGCTCCACAGTAGTTTCGCACGTCACAGCTTGAACTGAAGAATTAAAATACAAAACAGGTGAAACCAATAGAAGAAGCAAAACATCCCGTACCATGGGAAGAAAATAAGTAAGAAAAAATGCTAACCTGTTACTTTAGAGACTGTGAAAGAATTAGCAGATTGATATTTGCTGCAAATACAAGGATAAAAATGTGAATCATCTGCTTAGACAGCAGTACCGTGTTACTCCTGCACATACCACATCTATATATACTTTACTTATCAAACACTTTTACAAAAATACTGGATAAGTAGTATAAGAACATGCTAAATCCATATTTCATATTCATATTAGTTTTGAATCAAATCGCTCTCATTCTTAAGATTAGAGGGTGATTTCACTATCAACTTCAAAAATTTATAGATGATACTATCAAACAATATGCATTACATTTACATATTTAATTCATACAAAAATTGAAACTCTCAAGGACCAATCTCCACAGAACCAGTTTAACCTTCACAATAATCAGTATAACTCAATATCTTTAAAAAACTACAAAATAATAAGTACCTGAAAAATAAAACCTACAAAATAATAAGTATTTCTTTTTTGTTTGTTTGTCTGTTTTGTTTTATTTTAAAACAGGATCTCCCTGTGGTCACAGGTGGCCTGGAACTCACTATGTAGACTAGGCTGACTTTGATCTCACAGATATCCCTCTGCTTCTGCCTCCCAAGTGCTGGGATTAAAGACAGGCGTCACTTCGCACACCCAACTCCATCACTCACTTTTTGTTACTACAGTACATGAATGAACCTCCTCTCATTAGGGCATCCATCATTAAAGAAAGTAAGCATAAGATTAGGTATACCATTATTTCTCATAGATGATTTTGTTCCTAACGAGAAAGTGCTGCTCAAATGTAAGACTTCAAATCTTGTCCTCCAATGCTGTAGTGCCCACTTGCAGCTAAAGGAGAGAACCAGCTGCTATTGTAAAATGATGGATAAATTTATTTTCTCCCCCTATTTAGAAGCCTTTGAGAGAAAACTGACAGTGATTCTAACTACTCCAACAGCTATCAAAATACCTAAAATCAAATCCTGAAGCTATCTCTCTAGAGTTCAGCCTTGGAAAAGAAAAATGAGGAAGAACCTAATAGAGGGATGCTTTTGGAAACCCTCATCAAGAAATTCCAATGGACTCTCATATGAAAATTTGAAAATTGCTCTGTTCTGACTTTTTTCTAGTTCCCTGTCTAGAACTTGTAATGCTAATTACTCTTGCCTTTACTTCTCCTACACATCTCCTATTCATGATCCAAGGACTTTTTCCCTTAGAGATAAGAGTTATGCAATTTGGGAGTCTTTTAGAAAGACCCAACCTACTCCCTATTGGCAATTTGGGTAACCTCTTCAGAGGATGGTGTGATAAGACTAGGAGGTAGGAATTGGCTAAGCAGTGAGGGTGAAAAGACCCCAAAGAAAAGTAGCCAGTTTTTTGGCTAAAACTCAAAATGTCCAAGGCCAAAGGCCAAAAATGTCAAAAGTATTTGGGAGCTTGTATCTAATCCTTAAAAGATTTTAGGGTTACCTCTTCAGAGAGGGTAATGTTAGAGTACCCAAAAGGCCCATAAAAATAAATAAATGAAAGAAGAAAAAAAAGAAAAGAAGAAGAAAAAAGTGATGGGGAGATACGGGAGGTGTTGGAAGGGCAAGAGTGGGCGTGGGTTTTATCAAAACACCTTAAATGCATGTGTGAAATTCTCAATAAAGTTTTTGTAAAAGTTAAAAAAAAAAGATTAGGTATACCATTATATATCAAAATCTTCATTGGTTTATGTAAACCCAAATTTTGAAAAAATCATCTATTTCTGAGGCATGGCTTGTTTGCAATGATTTTCAGCATGGTATACCCTCTAAATATATTTGCTTACTATCAAAGATGCAGAACATCAACAATCTTGTGTTTCTACCAGTTTCAGATACAATGTTTAATATTCATTACCTGTAATGTGACTCCCACAGTTCTCAACTTCTCACAAATGCAGAGCTTGCAAGGCATAATAGCACAAACCCTTAGTCCCAGTACTTGGGAGGCAGAGGCAGGGGGATCTCTGTGAGATTGAAGCCAGCCTGATCTACATAGTGAGTTCCAGGCCACCTGTGACTACAGGGAAGACTCCATCTCAAAAAACAAAACAAAGAAAAACAAATGCAGAATTTTTTGAAATGTAGTAAACTTCACATTTCAACAGAATTCATTATGAATTCCAAATTACATTTACTGTAAAATTCCCTGAAGTTGTACATTTATAGGAAAGACTGTTTCATTTAACCCTGGGAAAACCTTTCTAGATGAAGTACATTTTGTTTTATGTAGAAGGAAAAAAGACAGCACATAAAGATGTTTCATAAGCCTCCATGCTCTACTTTTAAAACACATGTAGAAAATGTGCACAGTGTTTGGTATGAGATATGGCATACTTAATAGAAAAATTTAAAGAGTTTATCAATACTTTTTAAGTGTTTAAATTACATTTAAATAAACAAAAGAAAAACAACACATTACATGCTTAGAGAATGTTTCAAAATCTTTATCTAGTAAACACTTTTATTCTATTAATAAAGTTACTGTTGCATGAAATAAGCCATCTTCCCATACAGGGCATGGACAACATGTAAATTTATAAAACTAGACTTCTCTGTGGTATTTTCAGACATAGCTGAAAAATTCACCGCTTAACATTAAGAATTAGCTACCAATTTACATATATTTATTGAAACTCCTGATAGTTCAAGTTTTAGCATTCCCTTTATAAACAAAAATGTAATTCAAATGGCTTTAAATTCAGAGGCTTTTCTCAGCTTTGTCTTTTCCAATGTATATTTTTAATTGAATTTTTGAGCATTTCATACAATAGATCTTAATCATATTTAGACCCCTCCCCTAGCTGCATACTCCCTCATAGCCTGCCCACCAGATTTCATGCATTCTGTTTTATGTATTAAGGCCTACTGAGTCAAATTTGTGTCCCCAGATGTCCCTCCATGTGAGTTCAGTACTTAGCTAAAATGAACCTTGAAAATTAGCAACTTCTCCCTCATCATCAATTCCTCAAAGCTTTGTGCTTAAGAATATGTTAACTCACTGCTACAACTCAGGATCATGTGATAGAAAAGATCATTCAGGTACGTACCCAATTGTTTGAACTCCGTTTCTGTTGGACTTGATGAAATAATGTTTTCTTCCTTGTCTAGTAATATCTACCCAACCACCTTCATTGTCAATTATCCCATAATGGATGGCAGCTCTACAGATACTGGATTGCTTGAAGAAGAGGAAGAGACACAGGTGTTACAATAACTGAGCTCTGCATAAGATGAAAACCTACTGTTTGTATGACTTTAAGTAAATATTTCTGTTAAATATATATTTAATGTAAGTTGTACATTCCACATTAAAACATTATATATTATATAGAAAGACTGAAATCACAAATAATTTCATGTACACTTACCATTTCATAATGTACACTGCCAATGACTTTAGCTTTACTATCCAAACAGCCAGCAGGGCACTCATACCTAAGTGAGAGTCACAGGAAAGAAGCTTGAGTTTCTTTGAATGTCAGTGCAGAAGGCAGCCATTTCTTTCATCTTGTCAGCTGACACTGAGACCCATAGTAACACATACCTATTACACGTGGTTCCTTTACACTGGTCTCGCAATCTTACTTCACAAGAAACAATCTGGGCTAAAAGGAAAACAAAAAAAAAAAATCACAAAATAATTATAATAATGTAAAAGCTTCTAAAATGTGTTATACATATTGTTAAAACATACTTTCTTATATTCCAAAAGCATGCAAATAAAATGTAAACATTTATGCTGCTCATGCGAACTATAAATGTGGAACGTGATGCCTTACACATCTGTTGCGTGCTGATGACTTCATTCCTGTTACTATCGTCCGATCTCGTCCTAACATGCGTGTCGTGGACGGCATGCTGCCGTTCAATTTCATTTGTTTCTTCCTCCCGAGGAGTGTAATACCTGTCTGACCCCTCTGTTAGAAGGGAAAGATTTAAAAATACGAATTTGATTTATATGAACACAAATTATTAAATAATCAAATGCTTTTCTACACCTGCTAAATAATTTAGAACTGAAAACTCAGTACTTTTTGATGCAGGTTTTGGCATAAGGTCATGGTCCCATGTACCACACTGGTAAGAGAGATACACACATCAGTGTTCCAGCCCTGGATTCATTTGCATCAGTACCCAACAGATGTCCAGTGGAACCATTTCTGCAGGCTATTCTTGTTTTGGTATTTATCAGTGTTTGGTTTTCAGGAAGTAGACATAGCAATCTAATAACATCAGAGCTTAGGAAATGCAATTTTTCCCCAAATGGGATGAGTTTTAATGTTTTCAGGGGGTTCACATTTAAAATTCTCCCCATCAAAAATGTGGGCTACAGAAGGACTGGTATGTCCTTGTGATTTATTACAACATCAGTGTCCTTGATATACATTTTTTTCTTTTAAAATAAACTTCAAAATGCAAAATTTTCAACTTAAAAATTGAGAATAGTTTCAAGGTTTGAATTAACTATTTGTCTGAATTGGCCTGTATCAAGGGCTTGTCAGCGGCATCCTTCAAAGTGGTGTGTATTTGTGTCTATGAACTCAGAACCTGGAAGAAAGGAAGGTGTGAATGTAGAGGAACGTGGCTTTAAGTGAAATATGGTGCTCATTGGTGAAGGGCAATGGGGCAGGTTGCAGGTAGCAGGCAGAGGGTACAAGGACCACTCACAATGAGAGAATGCTACAAGACTGCTAGGAATTCCAATAGGGACCTACAATGGGGGGGGGCATAATGAAAACTTTCATTATCACTAATGAGCATTCAGTCATTGAGGAAAACAAGACTTTTCATGAGCACTGGGCAAGAACTATTATTATTCACATTTCTAACACACTTATTCTTCATTTACTCATCAAAACCAGAAAGTAGATGGTGGCAAAAAATGTCCCCTTGGACGCCCAAGAGCATGACCTCTCACAAAGTTTTGTCATATACATTTTATCTTCAGGCACAATAAATAGGACAACATATTTATGTTTACTGTTTTCTGAGACAGGGTTTCAAGGCTGGCCTTGAACTTGCTATATAGTCAAGGATGACTTTGAACTCCTGATTCTTCTGCCTCTACCTCCCCAGTGCTGGGAATACAGGTGAGTACTACCATTCCAGGTTTATGTAGTGCTGGGATGGAACCCAGGGCCTCTTGCATACCAGGCCAGCACTCTACCAACTGAGCCATATCCCCAGTCCTATATATTTACATGTTAAGACTTCAAATGTATTTGAGAGCAACAATTTTTAGTTCTACAGTATTATTACACTTTAAAATATTTTAGCAGAAGAAATACTATAGTCTGCTATGAGAAGTGAAGAGTCATTAAGACTCATTGCACATGGGTCAGAAAGAAACAGGGAGAGGTACTTTTGTCATAACTCTCAAAGTATTAAAAACAAATTGAAAATTATGACATTTGTGGAGATAACTCTCATCAACAACATATGCTTTTAAGAATGTATGCTGTTACTCTGGAGTAATTTCAAAGTAATGTTAGAAGTGGTTATCTGAAATAGTCATGCAACTGTCCTTTAAATGCATATTGACATGATGTTTCATTACAATAAGGATATTAAAATAAGCTGAAAAATACTTATTCATATTTAAGATGACTTTCTCAATATTCTTGAAATAGGGCTCTGGACATTATTCATGTACTAATGGATGTGCCTTTTGACTTTTTCTTTCTTGGTGCTGAGGATTTCATATCACACATCCACAGCATGCACTTTAGCATCCAGCTACATCCCAAATATATGCACAAGTTGATACAGTGCTGGATTAAGACTGGAATATTACAACAAAGTAGCACTGACCTTTGTAGCACAGATTTTCTCTACAGCCCCCTCCGAAACTTGGTGGGCAAGCAGAACAAGGCCTTCCATGTTTGTAAGGGGCGTGGCCCCACCAGTTTCCCCTAAAGAGATGACCCACTCCATTAAGACACAGTTGAACAGCATTACTGACACAATGAAAAACATCAGTACACAGGAATTCTCAGAGAAATGATCTGGGTATTTTAGGAGTAAGACCTCTCTACATTGCAATATGACATCTTGTGGGTTACTATGTTTACATACAGTTAACTGTCTCATTCTTCTAAAAATTTACAAAGTACCTTGCCATAAAAACTGCTAACGATTAAAAATTCAAATTTTACAGAAAACTGAATTCAGGAGGATATTTGCCTATATCATATGCATTAATAATTTAAATCTGACTCTAAGAATGATTCAATAAAAATTTTAGCATAATCATTCAAATCACCTTTACATAGGTGAAAATATATTTCTCAACTCATCTGTGGCTGAAAATCTCTAGTGAAAATTACTGAATATGCACCAAATTGAAAACATAAAAATTATCTGTGTTTTCAAAGGGACCATGCTTTCATTTGTCCTATTCCCTTTATATGGTGATTTTATGCATTAATTAACCATAATCACCACCATAGGCATTAAACTGAATTTAAAAAATACTGAATATACATTGAAAAAGAGAAAAATCAGGGTTTTTACTTTTATTTTCACATTAAGAAAAATTCCCATATGAAATTAATGAGTGAAATTAATTGTCTACTCACTTTGGAGAATAATTGCACACCAAGTAGACAGCCTTTGGCCATATCTGCCCCCAGATATTCATGTTGTGGCACAGATTAATGGCGCAGCCTATCCTACTGCTTGTTGCCCACACCACCTGCGATAGAGAAGAGAAAGGCTCAGGAAAGGCTGAGATGTGATAGGACAACAGTGCACCAAAGAGAAAAGGATGAAACTTGACCTGGAGAAACCCAGACTGGTCATTCCAGATGAAATGAGGCAGTTCTAAAACATGCATCTTTCCTGAGACTTTGGGTTGTGCTTGTCGGTTCAATTTTTAAAAGAAATTTTTAGGCAAATGGCTCTATCTCCTATTAAATGGCAGCATTTTTTAAAGTACAAACTCATGAAATGTTTCAAAAGTTATTATTTCTATCCTATGAACATTTCTAAGAAGAAATTTGCCAGCTAAAGTAACAGAATTGTCTACCTCAAATACAAGGTATAAATGCAAAATTGCCAGTGCTCAAATCTCTTCCATTCTAGAGACAGCAGTGGTGAGCTTCCTCTACTGGAGCTGGCCATTCTCTGTTTCAGTCAGAAGTTAAGACGCATCCGACACCAAAGGTCAACACTACACATAATATTTATACATATATTATACATTCTGCAATATATAAATATCGAATGCCAAAGGAAAATTGTATTTTTTTAAAATCAACCTGATTTTGAAGACGGCAAACTGCTCCCCAAGTATATTTACTGGGGACATATTAAAATATTTTACACGGAGAGTCATTGAAATAATTATTTGAAGTCCTGTAATAATTCATTTCATTGCTATTGCTTATCTGTAAGTTGATTCTATGGAATTAATAGTAATATAAGTTTTCTTAAATAATCCCATTATATAACACGAGGAAGACACATGCCCACATGTCCTATCGTTCCACTAACTGAACTGAAGAAGGCGATTACAATGCGCTCAAATCACACCTGCGTGTAGTGAGTACAGACGGGGCCGGAGCATCTGAATGGGCAATACGGGTTACATTCGTGCTCATAGGGGTAGCTGAAATCTCTCACTTCGTCGTACCATGCTTGGACATGAAATGTTGGGGGTCTGTATCTGTTAGAAGAAATAATCAGAAAGAACAAGAAAAGCTGTAGAAAATATAAAACCGAACATTGCGAAACAGATTGCCAGAGCTTGGCAGAAAGCTATCTGCGGGTAAGTTAAGACATGAAATGTATATGTCCATTTCATGTTTAACATACAAATGATTTAAAACAAAAATAAACTTGAAAATCTGGTTATTCTGGTGGGATTCTTTGTTTTAAGATTAGCTGTTTTGTTTGTAGGCACCAAATCTTTGAAAATATGTAGTAAACATTTCATTCAAAACATTTGTGTTTCCAGAAACAGAAAGCTGCACTTTGAGGTACCTTCCCCAGTGTGCTCCCAGATTCTGTCCGATGGAGGGCAGCAGGCTTGCAGGTCCGTGCTCCCACAAACACGTTTCAGCCCAGGATTCTGCAGACCTTTCCAGCTCCACATCCCATGTCTACAAGGTAAACAAATAAAGTACAGACCTACAATTAGCAGAGCCTGGGCATTCCTTCAGACTCCAACCTCACAAGTTTCTTACATTTTCTCCCTTCTTTGACAATTAATATGCTGGTCTGGGTTCTTCACATCTATCACGGGATTTTTTCTTCACTACCCTCCTAATTAACTTTTGTGTCTACACCTCCCGTTCCAATCTGCTTACAAGTTTTTAGACTGCCAAAGTGATCACAAATAATTTATGTGATTCTTCTACCTAAACACATCCAACAAGTGCACATTATCGTGTCACCTAGCCTCTCTGTCAAAAAGATGGTCATGTCACCTGCCCCCTCTGATGTCCACATGGGGGGGACCCCCCCCCCCCCCCCCCCCCCACATATCCACTGCAAGGACCTTGTTCCTTACAGTAAAGCATGCTATCCCTGCTGGCATTATTTCCCCTGCTGATGCATCTTTTGGCTATCTGCCAGGCAGGCCTCGAGTCTTTGTTTCTCACATAGCCTTGTCTAACATGGTCTCTGTGATAGCTCTTCAACTGTCCTAGAAATAAGTTCTGTCCTCCCTGGCACCCTCAAAGCTTTGCTATATTCCTTGTGTAGATCTGTCACACTGCGCAATAATGTTTATGTACACGTCTACCTCTTCCATGAGAGTAGAAGCTGCCTGGAGGTAGGCATTTAACTCACACTGGTATCTTTCACCTACTTTGTGTCTATTACATAGACAGGTGACAGATAATTGCTTGTTGAATACATGAATGAGTAATAAATCTGACTCCTATAAAATATACATTATTCTTATGTAAAAAATTCAATGAAGGTGACTGATTCATTTTAAAATAATTTATATAGAATTGAAATATAAAAGGATAACTGAAATAACATATTCTAAGTCCCGGCTTTAGTATTCAAGTTGTTATTGATTCAAATCATAGGCTGTGCGCTGTGTATAATATTAAAATCATAGACTCATGTGGAACTATCTTCAGTGTTGGCACTACCACAGGAGGACTCTAAGTAGTAAGAGGACACTAAAAAGATCCCAGGAGCGGAACACTGGAACAATTCAAGGGGAGGCCATGGGGATACAGAAGAAAAGACAGATCAAAATAACACACAGATATTTAAATTCCTCAGAATGGACAATGAAAGTAAGCTGCTGAGGAAAAGAGCTGAGGAGGGATACAGTTATCACATGGGAGACAGGAGTCATACGAGCATGTGTCTGTATTCCTTAGGTGCAATCCCATGGGACTGCAATATGCTCACCAATAGGCACCACCATGCATGCCACCAAGTGGAGTACAGGAATACAAAATGACAGTAAAATATACATGAAAAAATGAAATAAAATAAAATATATACAGAAAAATAGATATGCTCTGAAGGCATGAATTTTGTAGTTTTTACTCAGAGACAAATTTCTTCAGAAAATTAACATAAGTGATGAGAGTAATGAAAAAAAAAATTCTAGGATTATCAAAATTGGAAGGGGAGGTGATGAGAGTCTTTTATAAAAGCCAGGAAATGAGATCATAAAGGCTAAAGGAAAATTCCAGGAGACTTCGGTTATAGAAATGGTGGAGAGACTTCAGGAACAGATGGGAAATGATGCCACAAGGGGCACAAGGACATGAGGTTGGTAGGGTACTAACCCATGGCTAATTTCAAGTCCACGACGGGAAGAGAAATCTGATTGTGGAGAGTCAGGAAATGAGTGGAGAGAGATAAGAGTAGTTTTCTCAATGTTTTAGAGAAGAGCTGAGATGGGGCAGAAGCTAAGGAAGGGAAGAATCAAGGTCTAGAAAGAACTGTTGGCTTTCTTTCATGTTAGATGCTGAAGAAACCCAACATGCCCATGGCTGAAAAGGAAAGATTGAGGATTTCCCCCATGGCCTCCCTTCACACACATGCGAGCACCAGATAACCACATTCACATGCACACACGCATATATGCACAATCACATGTGAAAAGGTATAGAGAAATTTTTTTCTTCATTCATATAATGTGTCATAAGTGAATTTTTTGCCTTTTTGATTGTGGATTTTAAGCATGAAAAATGTTTTTAAAGTCACAAAGTAATATGTTTACAATATTAGGTAATTATATCTTATTACTGTGTACCTTTATTATCCAGCAAAAATACAAAAAGCATATCCACATGCAACTAAAAACTTAACAGTGGTAAGAGTAGCTGATTTGATTAACATCAAATATTTCAGACTACCAATTTCATGAAATTGATACCAGAAACATGTTACCAATATATATTTATTAGATAAGCACTTTATTTACTGATATAGGCTTATTATTAATTAATTTACTATTTAAGTCAAGTTCAATTATGTATTTTAATTTAACACACAAGAAACATCATTCAAGTTGCTGTTGCTATCGGTTACCAGCCAGATTTAAACAAGACATGATAAATGTGAATGAAATCCTAAAAAATGGGCAAAAATGTTGTTTTCTTTCTGTATATAGAAAATTAGAGAAATAATCTCTTCTCCAAAACAATGGGATTTTCAGGTACTTTCCCAGGAAGGAGGGTGTCCTTAAGAAAGACAAGACTTATGTCTTTGCTCTTCAAACTTTGGCTCGCCCATGGTACTTTAAAACCATACTGATCCACAGGTTCCCCAGTAGGTCAACCTCATGTTAAAGGGGAGCTAGAACAAGGGGAAAATTATAAAGAGAACTCTGATGGCTGATAAACCAAACACCTGGAAGTCATTGTGATGATTTTTAAATACTCTTCCTAAAAATCTGTTGTAGAATTCCTCCTCCCTTCCAATTGCAGCTGCAGAGTGACTCAAGTCTAACAAATAGATTGAGGCCTGGAGAATTCCCAGGCTAGGTTATGAAACGGAGCGTCTATCTGCTCGGCTGCTCTTTTCAGATACATCCTGACTAACTTGAGCCAACACATTCCAAGGCCAACCGCAGGGAAAAATTGGCGGGAAGGAGAGGACAATGCGGACAGACCACACAGAGGGATCAGGAGTTGCAGTAGCTGGAGATTTCCTGGCCCAGGCTAAAGACCTGTGAGTGTACAGACCCTCAGGTGATAGTGGCTCAGGTCCAACAAATGAATGAGAGCCCCTCCTCGATTCCTAAGGACCACCCAGATAAGCCCACAGACAAGTCCTGGAGGCTCTACTTAAGGGTGGTTTATGTTTGCCTTGCACATGATTGTACAGTCTGGGATGCAAGGTTTTCCATAGCAATCGGAGAAGGATCACTTTTAGAGAAAATACACACTAGCTCTAAACTCACCAATCTATGTATTTCAAAACATTGTTTATATCTCTGTTTTATAGTAAGTAAAAGATTTTAAAACAAGTTCAAATATTTTAGGCTAACCTTTCTTAATTATAAAACGTGTCACCTGAAATAAAAGGTAGCTCAGAAAGATGACCTTAACAAGTAAAGCAAATTCAATGAGCACATACAATGGATAAACCATTTTTAAAGCATCAACCTTTTTTGGCTTAACCCACTGAAAATAAGAGAAGAAAGCAGACAGAATAAATTATTATAATTCATACATATGTAAATAGAAGAGCTTATCTTATTTGAATGTAAGAACTAATGTATATATCAATAATATAAAATAAAAGTCTTTAAAAATAAAGTTCTGAAAATACAACTGTCCTAGAAGAAATATTACCAACAACAGCATGATACACATACACACACACACACACACACATACATATATACATACATATATGCACATACATACATATTTTTAGTACATGTGTATTTTTATTCCTAACATGATATTTTAGGTTTTAAAACTGCCAACAATTCATACCCATACCATATAAATATAGGTTTGACTCTACACATTTCTATTTAAATTCAGGCTTTTAAATTAAATCAAGATGGGCTGAGAGGCTTCTTTTTCTTCCTCTGAACTATTCACCCAGCATGAATTTGAACTTATACTAAAATTACCATTTCTTCATAAAATGACTACACGAGGCATGTATAAGGAAAACATCATTTCCCAACTACATCTAGATGCTTCTTCTTAGAGCATAGTATGTCCTCAAATATCTTCAATGAAGTTTTATTTCTAAAGGAAGCATTGAGACACTACATTCTTTGCTTCCAATGATATATTTTTAATATTTTATTTACTATTTTTAGTTTATGTGTATGAGTGTATTGCTTGCATGGATATAAACTCACTTGTGCCCTGCAATGCCTGCAGAGGTCAATAAAAGTGTAAGGTCCCCTGGAACCAGAGTTATGGACAGTTGTTAGCTACTGTGGGTGCTAGAACTGAACCCAGGCCCTCTACAAGAGCAGCCAGTTCTCTTAACCACAGAGCCATCTCTCCAGCCCACACTCCCAATGATATTTTTAAGCCAGTCTAATAGAAAGAATTCCTAATTTCAAGTGTCTATGAATGTATGTGTATGTGAATTTAAATCTTGAACGTCTAGAAACATTTAATGATTTAAGTACTGAAATATTGCATTTTCACAAATTAGAAATTATGTAGTTTTCTAGACACAGAACAATGGTCACTATCCTTTGTGAAGTAAAAAGGGGTGAGTGTGTGATTCATAGTCCTGTCAGCTATGCTCTCCAGGAAAATAAGCAGCCAGTGAGTCACAAGTCATTCAAAACTGCAGTTTTTAGCTTACGAATAAGTTACAACACTGTACATTGGGAAAAAATAACTATCTTGATACAACAGGTCTTTTTTTGATACTGAGAAAATTATATCTTAAAATCTGACGATAATATATTTATCACCCTCAAACTTACATAATTTGAAAATTCATGTTTGGGGAGCTGTTTATAAGGAGTCAAAATTATTGCTGCAGTTTATTATACAAGAGTTGAAGATAATGTTAATTGGTCACTAAGAATTTGTCTAAAAATGAGTGCTCTATGATAAGAGGCTTCAAGGAAGGTAGTTTCCTTGGTGAGTTGTGTGTCTCAAAGCTCCTTAGTAAAAGCTCATCGTTCCCCAGGGAG